GGGGGCCCAGCCATGGCTGGGGCGCCCCCGGCTCTGCCACACACGGCTCATGGCCCGGAGCGGAGACGTGGGCCCCCCTGGAGCTCAGACACTTATGGCTCCCACTGCCGGGCCCGGGCCTCTCCCGCCCCCGTGCGTGGCCTGTTCCGTCCATGCCTCAGCCCAGGGACATGAGAGCCTCTCGCTATTGCCCGGCTTGTCTTCGGGGCTCAGCCCTGACCAGGCTCTGTGCGGGGGCCGGTGGAGGGGGGGCAGCCGGCCTGGGGTGTGACTCTGTCAGGCAGCGGTGGGCTACCTGGGGTTCGATGCGCGGCCCATGCTCAGGGCTGCCAGATTCTGTTGGGTTCTGTCCACGTCCTTTGTCCCCTACCGGTATTACAGCTCTAAATGCGGCATCCTGGGATTGGAGCGAAAGGAGCAATTCCCCTTGCCCAGGAGGGGAACTGTTTTTGGGGTGGAGCAGGGCTGCTGACCCACAGAAAAATCAGTCGGGGCTTTTTTTTTGGGGGGGGGTGTTCGGTATTTTTGGTTAAACCCCCTGGCAACCCTCGGCCCCCGACTGAGGAGAGAGACCCTCCCCACAATCCCCTCCCGCACCGGAGCCTGTGGGGCCCGAGCGAGTTGCCCTCCTGCCCTGCATCACATCCATGGTCCATGTGGTCCGGTATCTCCCCCCTGCCCTGCATCACATCCAGGGTCCGTGTGGTCTGGTATCTCCCTCCTGCCCTGCATCACATCCATGGTCCGTGTGGTCCGGTATCTCCCTCCTGCCCTGCATCACATCCATGGTCCGTGTGGTCCGGTATCTCCCTCCTGCCCTGCATCACATCCATGGTCCATGTGGTCCGGTATCTCCCTCCTGCCCTGCATCACATCCATGGTCCATGTGGTCCGGTATCTCCCTCCTGCCCTGCATCACATCCATGGTCCATGTGGTCCGGTATCTCCCCCCTGCCCTGCATCACATCCAGGGTCCGTGTGGTCTGGTATCTCCCTCCTGCCCTGCATCACATCCATGGTCCGTGTGGTCCGGTATCTCCCTCCTGCCCTGCATCACATCCATGGTCCGTGTGGTCCGGTATCTCCCTCCTGCCCTGCATCACATCCATGGTCCATGTGGTCCGGTATCTCCCTCCTGCCCTGCATCACATCCATGGTCCATGTGGTCCGGTATCTCCCTCCTGCCCTGCATCACATCCATGGTCCATGTGGTCCGGTATCTCCCCCCTGCCCTGCATCACATCCAGGGTCCGTGTGGTCTGGTATCTCCCTCCTGCCCTGCATCACATCCATGGTCCGTGTGGTCCGGTATCTCCCTCCTGCCCTGCATCACATCCATGGTCCGTGTGGTCCGGTATCTCCCTCCTGCCCTGCATCACATCCATGGTCCATGTGGTCCGGTATCTCCCTCCTGCCCTGCATCACATCCATGGTCCATGTGGTCCGGTATCTCCCTCCTGCCCTGCATCACATCCATGGTCCATGTGGTCCGGTATCTCCCCCCTGCCCTGCATCACATCCAGGGTCCGTGTGGTCTGGTATCTCCCTCCTGCCCTGCATCACATCCATGGTCCGTGTGGTCCGGTATCTCCCTCCTGCCCTGCATCACATCCATGGTCCGTGTGGTCCGGTATCTCCCTCCTGCCCTGCATCACATCCATGGTCCATGTGGTCCGGTATCTCCCTCCTGCCCTGCATCACATCCATGGTCCATGTGGTCCGGTATCTCCCTCCTGCCCTGCATCACATCCATGGTCCATGTGGTCCGGTATCTCCCCCCTGCCCTGCATCACATCCAGGGTCCGTGTGGTCTGGTATCTCCCTCCTGCCCTGCATCACATCCATGGTCCATGTGGTCCGGTATCTCCCTCCTGCCCTGCATCACATCCATGGTCCATGTGGTCCGGTATCTCCCTCCTGCCCTGCATCACATCCATGGTCCATGTGGTCCGGTATCTCCCCCCTGCCCTGCATCACATCCATGGTCCAGGTGACCTGGTATCCCTCCACTGCCTTATATCAGACTAGTGCAAGTAACCCTGATCCAGGGCAGTGGGGAGATACCAGACCACATGGACCATAAATGTGATGCAGGGTCATGGTCTGGTAACCCCCCACTACCCTGCATCACGTTTATGGTCAATGTGCTTTGGTATCTCTCCACATCCTGCATCACATCCAGGGTCCATGTGGTCTGGTGTATCCCCCCTGCCCTGCATCACATCCATCATCCCGTTGGCCTGGTATCCCCCCACTGCCTTGGATCAGATAGTGCTGTTAGCCCTGACCTCCCTGCCACACCTGTTGAGAGCAATGGGTCCTCTGAGCGTGGCCCATACCAGCTCCTGTGTCACTCGGGCATCGCACAGCCCAGCCCTGGGGCTGGTGGGGGAGAGTCTTCCTGCCCCCCCCTTGCTGACCGATGCCCTGGAGCCTGAGGCTCGACGGTTGACGGGTCCAAGGTCAGATGCCTTCCTGCGCCTCCCCCAGGGCTTGGCCTTGCTAGTGTCATTTGAAACAAGCTTGTGGTCCCGGGCGGGGATTCCCCGGAGGCTGGGCTGCGTGGGAGGGGAAGGTTCAGATGCCTTCCTGCGCCTCCCCCAGGGCTTGGCCTTGCTAGTGTCATTTGAAACAAGCTTGTGGTCCCGGGCGGGGATTCCCCGGAGGCTGGGCTGCGTGGGAGGGGAAGGT